CCGCCCCTCACCCCACCACCACCAGTACCCTACAGCCATTACTCTCAGGTCCCCTCAGTTAGCAGAGACAAACGGAGGGACAGTCACTCTCTACACACTTCCTGCCACCACACACTTCCTGTCTGCACTTTCTGCCTACACACTTCCTGCCACCACACTTCCTGCACACGCTACCCTTTTGCCTTCCTGTCACACCTTTCTGCCACCACACTTCCTGCCACCACACACTTCCTGCACCACACTTCCTGCCACCCCACACACTTCCTGCATCACACACACTTCCTGCCACCACACACTTTCCACCACACACTTCCTGCCACACACTTCCTGCCACCACACCCTTCCTGTCTCCACACACTTCTGCCACCACACTTCCTGCCCTTGCACTTCTGCCACCACGCCCTTCCTGCTGTACACCTTCCTGCCTCACACACTTCCTCCACCACACTTCCTGCCCGCACTTCCCCACCACGCACTTCCTGCCACCACACCTTCCTGTCACCACACACTTCCTGCCATCACACACTTCCTGCCACCACACACACTTCCCTGCCGCCACTCTTACACGCCTGCCACCACACTTCCTGCCCACCCTCTTCCTGCCCCTCTTTCTGCCACCACTCCTCTTCCACCACACACTTCCCTGCCACCACACACTCTCCCAGACCTTGCCGTGACAGGGAAGCACTTATCATAGTACAGTCAGGACCTGCTACTTGCAGGAGCTGCTGAGAGGTGCTGGACTATGTTGTAGGGCAGAGTCATTACTGGGAGGTGCTGGACTGTGTTGTGCAGATGGGTCTTTGTGCTGGGAGGTGCTGGACTGTGTTGTAAGTCAGGTCATTGTACTGGGGAGGTGCTGGACTGTGTTGTAATTCAGGTCATTGTATTGGGGAGGTGCTGGGCGTTTTGAAAGTCAGGTCATTGTACCGGGAGACGCTGGACTGTTTTGTAATTCAGGTCATTGTACTGGGGAGGTGCTGGGCTTTTTTTTTAAGTCAGGTCATTGTACTGGGAGAGTGCTGGGCTGTTTTTATAAGTCAGGTCATTGTACTGGGGAGGTGCTGGTCTGTGTTGTAAGATCAGGTCATTTGTACTGGGGAGGTGCTGGACTATGTTGTAAATCAGGTCATTGTACTGGGGAGGTGTAGGCTGTTTTATGCAGTCAGGTCATTGTACTGGGGAGTGCTGGTCTGTGTTGTAAGTCAGGTCATTGTACTGGGGAGGTGCTGGGCTGTGTTGTAAGTCAGGTCATTGTACTGGGGGTGCTTGGACTGTGTTATGCATCAAGTCATTATTACTGGGAGGTGAAAATGTTGTAATTAGCCAGGTCTTGGGGTTGGCGAGGTCAGGTTAATCAGTAATCAAAACATTTTAAAAAAACTGTGAGAAAAAAAAGATAAATTGTTAACATTGAGTCAGATCATTAGCTGTTAAAATATAAGCGACCCTCAGCGATGAGACCTTACGTGTAGTGTTGAATTCAGGAGTGGTGGTGAGGTGGGTATGGGGTGGTGGGTATAGGTGGTGAGGGTGGTATGGTGGTGGTGGGTATGTGGTGGTGGGTATAGTGGTGGTGGAGTATGGTGGTGAGGTGGGTGTAAGTGGTGAGGTGGGTATGAGTGGTGAGGTGGAGTGTGAGTGGTGAGGTGGAGTGGTGGTGGTGGGTATGGTGGTGGGTGGGTATGGTGGTGAGGTGGGTGTGGTGGTGAGGTGGAGTATGGGTGGTGAGGTGGGTGTGAGTGGTGGTGAAGTATGGTGGTGAGGTGGAGTATGAGTGGTGGGTGGGTGTGAGGTGTGAGGTGGAGTATGGTGGTGAGGTGGAGTATGAGTGGTGAGGTGGAGTATGGTGGTGAGGTGGAGTATGGTGGTGAGGTGGAGTATGGTGGTGGGGTGGGTGGTGGTGGGTGGGTGTGGAGTAGACACAGCATGACAGGCTGGCTGATCAGCCACCTCACCCCCTGGGAGGAGTGTGGGAGGGTTACACCAGGCGGAGGAACACTAGGGGTGGGAGGGGGACAACACGCAGCCAATTTGTTGAGCTGTTGCCAGACTCATGGGAAGTCTCTGGCGGGTAAGTTGGTTGGAAAAAGGAAATGGGTAGGGAAGTTGTTGGTGGTAGGGAGGAATGCTGCTGTTCCTCTTCTTCTTCCTCTTCTTCTTCCTCTCCCTCTTCTTCTTCCTCTCCTCTTCCTTCTCCTCCCAGGCTCATACTTGGGCAACATTGTCTTACATGTTGGAATAAATCTTGACCACAGTAGTAGGTCTGTTGTGTCAAGCTTAAGGACCTCCTCGCCAGCTTCCTCCAGCCCCTAGACAGGTCCCTCAGCCCCCAGCCAAGTCCCCCAGCCCCTAGCCAGGTCCTCCAACCCTTAGATCTTCCCCCAGCCATGTCCTCCCCAGCAGTTCCCCCAGCTGTCATGTTGTCCATTTACTATTGTGGAAGGACGATCCCTGGAGACCTCGGTGTTACCATAGGCGACACTGTTGCTCTGTCTGCCATGTTCACACCCGTTGTGTGTGTTCCACCTGCTGTACCATCTGTTCCTCACCTGCTGTACCATCTGTTCCTCTATTTGTGAGTGATCAATGCCATGAACAGTACATGCCTTGTTCGGGGTACTGTGTGTGTGTGTGTGTGTGTGTGTGTGTGTGTGTGTGTGTGTGTGTGTGTGTGTGTTGCTTGTTTTTTCACTCCAACGATCACTACAACCTACACCACCAGCGTCCATATCCTCTCATGCCGGGAACAGGAGAACTTATATATTAACACTCGTCATATTTTACCCGTTGCTGGAGACACCGAAGAGCACCTGTATTTAGTGTAGAGTCTCGGTGTAGGAATGAAACCATACTGAGGCGTTATACTTCCCTTTGACTATGTCCTCCCACGAATGTCTCATAATCATAGTTGACGAGATAGTTAGGTACAGGGAGTGAGAGAGACATCAAGCAGACACACACCCACCCTAGCCTATAGGCCCAGGGTCACGACAGGAAGGAGGCTAGCAAGAGTATGGTCCTCTCCTCTCCTGCCCCGAGTTGTTGTGATAGGAAGGTGTGTGTTGTTTGTGTGCTTGCGGGAAGTGTGAGGTGTGGTGAGACAGAGAACTGTGTGAAAGGGGAGTGTGCAAGAAGTTCATGTGTAAGGGAAGTTTATGAGAGTGAGATATGTTAGAGGGAAGTGTGTGACAGGGAGTGTTTGTGTGTGTGTGTGTGAGAAAATTGTGTAAGATGTGAGTGTGTTAGAGGGAACTAGGAAGGAGAACCTCGGCACTGTAGGCTTCATCTGCTTTATCTTACTAGTGTCATTCCGTGAGAGAGGTGACCCAGGCATGGGCACTGCTCTCTTTACTATTCAAAATCTGCTTTGCTTTTGAGTGTTCGCTCTCAGGCATTATCCTCTCGAGAACACTCTTGTCCGTGGCTTTCCTCGCTCCTCCTACAAAGTACCTCTCCTTTCTTCCAGGTCCTTCCCCTCCGCCCTCAGCTTTGCTTTACCCCAGGTTCCTCTTCTCTCAAGCCTTTGTCCTTCCCCAACTCCTGTCAGGTCCATCTTCTTCTTTCAAGTCTCTCTCCTCCTCTCCCAGGCTCCTCCCCCTTCAGGCTCTTTCTCCTAAAGTCGCTTCCCTGTCAGGTCCCATTCCTCCTCCCAGTCCTCCTCTCAGTCCTCCTCCCAGTCTCTTTCCTCCCCGAGTTCCCTTCTTGCCCTCAGGTCAGGTATCTCCCTTGTAAATCCATTGACTCTTAACATTGACTGAATGACTTAAGGCAAATATAAAGCCCCATCTATTCTCTCTTTGTTTTACAGGCAATACGTAACTA